TGATGATTAACATGCTGTAATACACAGTTCAAAATTAAAGGGTCAAATGCTGTACATGAGAGGTTAAGCTCCCCCTGGCGGTTTTACAAGGCGACGCCGGATAGCTAGTCACGTGACACACGTGAACCGCGTGATACCCCGGTGGGCGTGTCGCGGTATGCCGCGAAATACCTCACCCATTTTGAATGGCTGCATCTGTACATGTTGTGTGAATCAAGGGAAGAAAATATCATTTCAATGCATTAAAAATTCTGTTCCTAACACAACACTCTTTGGATTTGTTCAGAGGGGAGAGAGAACACTTTCTGAAAACACTTAATTTTAAGATTTCACAAAAAAGGAACACTTGGGAACCATTTTTTTCTTTCTTGGTTATTCGCCATTGGAAAGAATTAAGAAGCTACCAGAAAACATGCCCAAAATCAAATGCAAGGTCTGCAATTTCTCTGCAGTGAAAAGGTTGCAATTTTGATTCATCACAGCCTGTGATGTCTGGGTGTGATACTCATAAAGCATGTCTTCCAAGGAGTTTACCTTGTATAAGGCCCATTAGTCCGTAGAGGAACAATCGTGAGTCTCGCAGCTTTTTCCATTCACTTTGGTCCTGCACCTGCTTAGCCTCAGTGGTCCAGGTGCTCAGCAGCCAGTTCTGACCCACAGACACCAGGTTCTGACCCATGTAGGCACCAACAGTCAACAGAACCCAGAACCACCCAAATGACTGCAGGTACTTTATAATAACTGATCTTTTCACCTAAATGGAAAGGTATTGATGGTTAAATATAAACATATTAAACATTACCTTAGAAGGTTCCAAAGTATTGAAGTAAAGAAACAAAGGCAACTGTAAGACAATAACCATTTAAATGGCTTAAACAGACTCTATTGATCACTTTTAACTGCTTCATTTTGAGATGGCTAAAAGGAATGTATTTGCACATACCAGATTAAAAACAGTTATAAAAAATAAAAAAAATAATGGTACATGAACCAGAACAAAATCTGTTTTAGATTGCTAGACAACTCTTACAAAAAGTGTAATGAAGCTCAACTGTGTGCATGTGTGTTTTCAGCTTACACTTCATTTAAACATGTATTTCTTTTATTTCAGTTCTTTTCACTCCCCAGGATATCCAAAAATCCACTATCATATAATAAAGGCACATTATTAGTAGTTCTATTACAACATGCATTAGTAATACATCTAGCTACTAATAAAGACAAACATTAAACTCCATTACTAATAAAATACATTTTGTTGCAATTGTGGCACATTAGTTTAGCATAGAGCTTCTTGTTAACTACAGGTTGAAATCTAGTTAGTATGCTGCTTTTCGTTCATTGCATTTGACCCTTTATAATAATAATAAACTTTATTTTATATAGCGCCTATAAAGGTGGCTTCTCAAAGTGCTTTACAGAATGACAACAACAATAAATAAAAAGAATACACAAGATAAAACACCATTACAATATATAGAGGAGACCGTGGATGGTGGTACTAAGAAAAGCAGAGGAGTGAAGAATGGAACCAGTTATGTAAAGGCTCTTCTAAAGAAGAAGATTTTGAGTCTGGATTTGAAGGAGTTTAGAGAAGGTGACTCTCTGATATCCTTGGGCAGAGAGTTCCAGAGCTTGGAGGCGTAACAGAAGAAGGACCTGTCACCCATACAATGTTCACGGGGTTGGGGGACAGTAAGGAGACCAGAATTAGAAGAACGAAGGTTGCAAGGTGGGGAGTAGGATGATAAAAGTTCAGACAGGTACTGAGGTGCCAAGCCATTGTAATGGAAAGTTACTGAGAAAAGGTGTTTTGTCCTAAAAATGTTGTTACGGACAGAGCTGTGCTGCAGAAGCAGCTGGATACTTAGAACAAAGTATGGGTTGGGTGATAGCACCCAACTCGTCAAGGGCACGAGATGTTTTAATAATGTTTATCTCTGCTGCTTGAAGAAGGGAGCATGAGAAACTATTTGAATAACTGGTCTTCTTTACTAAAAGCAAAAACCTATAAGTAATGGAAAATTACTGCTTTGCTTGTCCTTGAAGTGTTGCATCAACAAGGGCTCTCCCTGCTTGCTTTTGAATCAGCTTTCACTTCTCTGCACAGACGGGTGATGGCTTTTTCCCATATTGCAATATGAATAAAGACCTTACTGAGTGAATGAGAATACCTCTCCTGGCTCTTCTTCGATAAAATTCCACAACACCATGAAGAGCCTTGTAGGTGAGCATGAGGATTTCAAAGTCCACATGGAATTTGACAGAAAGCCAGTGCAAGGACTCTAGGATAGGAGTAATGTGATCATTTGCACTAGACCTGGTCAGGATTCTGGCTGCTGAATTTTGGACATAGTGCAGTTTATTCAAAGTAGATTTAGATACCCCAGTGAGTAGAACATTACAGTAGTCAATTCCACAGTTACAGCCACAGTTAGTGATAGCATAGGGCGTAGCCTAGCGATATTTCTGAGGTGAAAAAAAGATGTTTTGACAATATGCTGCACATGTGGGTTGAATGTTAAGCCAGAATCGAATATAACCCCAAGGTTCTTCAATTAAGATTGAAGCTCAAACACAGAACCATCTACAGCTAGGGTTACTTAACTGGCTTTACGAAGTTGATGGGGATGCTAATAAGCATGACTTCACAAATTTTGAGTCATCCAAATTTTTATGTCAGAGATGCAATTAGATAGAATAGAGACAGCCACATCGGTGTCAGGTTTGGTATGGATGTATATTTGAGTATCATCAGCATAGAAATGATAGCTGAGGCCATGTGATCTTAAAAGCTGACCAAGTGGAAACATGTAAATGCTGAAGAGAAAGGGGCCCAGTATTGAGCCCTGAGGAACACCAGACTTAACAAGACCAATTTCAGACCTATACCCATTAAGAGAGACAAAGTGACAGCAATCAGTGAGGTAAGATTTGAACCATTTGAGAGCAGTGTCAGAAACTCCAAACACAGTCTCAAGACGAGAAAGTAAGATGTTATGGTCAACAGTGTCAAAAGCAGCACTGAGATCAAGAAGGATGAGTATAGAAAGAGAACCAGAATCAGAAATTTGAAGATCGTTAGTAACTTTGACCAGGGCAGTTTCTGTGCTGTGAAGTTGGCTGAAGCCAGATTGGAGGGGTCCAAAAAGGTTATTTGCCATGAGGTGGTTATGTAACTGAAGTGTGACAGCATGTTCTAGAATTTTTGGAAGAAAGCGTAAGTTGGAGATGGGGCAAAAATTGTTAAGGTTGTTGAGAGCCATGTTGAACTTTTTTGGCTCGGGGGTAATGACAGCAGTTTTGAGGACCATTGGTACAATACCAGTGCTCAAGGATTCATGTATAATATTGAGGACAATGGGACAGAGAGAAGAGAAAGAGGACTGAAATAAATTGTTGGGAATGAGATCTAAAATAGATGTGGTGTGTTTCATATGTGTAACTAGTTTATTGAGGGATGCTGAGTCAAGAAAAGAGAAGCTGGAGATAAGGGAACCAGAAAAGTTGGATGAGGATGGAGGAGGTATGGAAATGATATGCGTAGTGGAGAGAATGTGATATTGTGGATCTTAGAACTAAAAAAATCTAAGAATATGTTGCAAAGTTGCGATCAGGCAGGTAATGTTTGGCTTTAGCAAGCTTTTGATGATGGAGAAAAAATGTCTGGGGTTGTTATGGTGATTTTCAATGATGTGAGAGAAGTAGATGGATCTAGCAGACTCTATATTAACCTTATATGACTAATATTTAAAAAATAACTCTTTAGAAGTTTATAGATTAATCATGCAGAATTCAGAAAATAACTCACTGTTTAGCAACAAAATGAGTAAGGTCTCACAGACTCAGGTTTGAGACAAAGTAAGGAATTGTGATTAACAGACAAAAAAAAAACATTGCAGAAAAAACACAACCTGACACCAATGTTCTGCTATGAATACTGTACCTGTGGCTCACACACATTATGTTGGTAAAAGAAATCTAAAGCAGATGCTTATTTTGCAATGTTCAGTGTCTCCCAAGTGATTCATTTTCTCAACAACAACAAAAACCACCAGAAAGATACAAAAATAGTAAAATAAATTTAAATGTTGCTTGATTTTCACATATAAATATAAAAAATAGATATTTTTTGTTGTACCCTTTTAGCCCATCTATCCTAAGTGTTAGCACCCTATTGATCCAAGAATTTCATTCAGTGGTTTCTTGAAAGAATCTAGGGTATCATCTTTGGTTGGGATTTCTACTGGTTTTCAATAAAGAATTCTGTGGTGTTAAAATGTGACAATAAAGAGAGAGATGACATGAAGAGAGAAATTTAACTTACATTTCCTGTTGCAACAACTTCTTTTTTCATCAAACATTGAGCAGGGGTTTGATGAAGATGCCTAACATACAAAAACGTTAGGATATCAACAATCACATTTTATAAACATGATTATACTTTATCTTCTGGGGAAAATCTAAATTTACCGAGACTGTATAATTTATCAGCACAATCAGGCAGTGCATTTTGCACATTCAGCAAGATTACTATTAAACGTACTGTGTTAATTCATATACTGGATAGGTATATCAATTTCAAACCAATGAGACAATAAATATTTACATAGTAAAATCTAGAAGTTTTCTGTGAAATCTGGACCTGGATAGATTCTACAAAATATCTGTTCATCAATACATTCTCTATAGAAATTATATTGATTATTGAGTAAATAATTTAAAAAAGGAAGTGGGTTATTACTTTATCTTTATTTTTCTCTTGTAAATGTTAGATTACAATATTTATTATTATTTATTAAATTTAATCTATGTATCGGATCTATTGGTAATTTTATTTAAAATTGGTTCAATTTGCCATCACACTTCAAAGTTTTAACCTTTTTATGGATACATGCTGAAATATATTTCACACATACCGTCTTTAAAATCATACGGCATCATGCTATATTTACTGTATATACAGTATATTTATACAGTATACCCTCAGTTAATTGTATGCTTTTGGTTCGGCATATCTGTGGATATCACTTTGTGCGTGTGGCATGTTGGGAAAGTAGTTTTTGTTCATGTTTTAAGACTACAGTACATGCACGGAATGCAAGGAATGACTAGTGTTTTTATGAAACAGGCCATTTGATTGCTGATTGCCTTATGTCAAAACCCAACAAAGAACGAATTGAAGTAGACTGCTGACGACTGTAAATTCAGCCCCATCCCCAAAGCAAAACAGCCTATTTCAAATAATAAAAACAGTGGGACCTAACACCCCCACCCTTTGTGACAAATATAATGTGTATTAAAGAAGTTCAAGAAGGGAGCTGCATTGCATGAGTTGGAAGGGAATGGAACATGTGAAGGTTAATTCCACGCTGAAAGGAAAAGAAAAGAGACTGGTGATAGATTTCAGGAGGAAGAGTATTTAACCTACTCCTTTCTACATCAATGGGGGTGGCCTGGAAATAGTGGACTCATACAAGTACATGGGAGTGCACATCGACGATAAATTAGAAATGGTCTATGAACACCTAGGCCATCTTCAAAGAGGGTCAGAGACAACTTTACTTCTTTAGGAGGCTCAAGTCCTTTAACATGTGTAGTAAGATGCTCCATATGTTCTATCAGTTGGTTGTGGTGAGTGCCATTTTCTATGTGGTGGTGTGCTGGGGCTCTGGGATTAGAGCAGGGGATGCTAACAGGCTGAGCAAGCTCATCAAAAGAGCAAACTCTATCATTGGGTCTGACCTGAACCCCCTGGAGGTAGCGGCTGAGAGGAGATAGGTGTCCAAATTAATGACCATCATGGACAATGTTGCCCATCCCCTCTATGACATGCTTGTGAGAATGAAAACCACGTACAGCAATAAGCTGTTCCAACCACAGTGCGACATGGAGCACTACAGAAGGTTATTCTTGCCTTCTGCCATAAGACTGTACAACTCATCCACAATGTGTCTGGGCAGGGGCAAGATATAATATATAATATAATATATTCTAGGGACTTGTGCAATATATTTTTATATTTAAATATTTTATATTTATATTTATAATATATTATATTATATATTTATATTATATATTTATATTTATAAAGTGCATTATAACTTTTTTGTGAACTGTTCTGTTTTTTGTATATTCTATACTGTGAGCAACGTTTTTAGTGCACTTTTCACTGACTGTATTGTATGAATTGTATTGTTTCATTACACTATTCTATGTTGACTGTGCTAAGCTGCTTTTGCACAGCAATTTCCCACACGGGATCAATAAGGTATCTATTACTTGTTCCTTTACAGCGTACACCTGCTGACGCAGCTATCCACCTTAAGTATAAATGGATAACATGACAACATGAATGAACACGAATGAGTTGACAAACATGAATACTGTCAATGGCAGGAATAAAAACTAGTTCTACTGTGTGAGAACACAGGACTACAACAGAACTTAAATCAAATTTGTATGTATACAGATGCAGCCATTCAAAATGCAGACGATACCGCATTATTTTGCGGTGCGCATTAAGCAGTCTACCGCGAGTTACCAGTACATACCGCTAGTTACCGTAAATTCTCCTATAATACCGCAAGTAAAATAATAGTATCCGGAATTTCCGCAAGGTGGAGCTAATAAAGCTCAAACTCTCATGTTTGAGCTGTCGCCATCAAAGTCTTTAAAGAAGATATTACTAATAGTATTAATAATGAATGACCTTGGACAAGCTGTAAACTCAAAGTATTACCCTGGTCCACATTATTTTTTTCATTGACTGTCTTTGTAAATCATGCAAAGTACAGCAATTTTTGAGAATCGATTCACCATGCCTTTCAAATGCTCATAAAAGAGATTGATTTAGAACATAAACATATTACCGTATGCAAACTGTACTGTATACAGTACGTATATGAATATTTAATGTCTTTACTGTGGCCATTTAAGTATTGAATATTTATATGGAATTTTACCACTGAAGGGAAATCTTAGTACCTGAGCATAAAAAGAATAGGAGCATACTGTAACACGTGTGAAGGCCATAAACGATATTAATTTTGGAACTTAAACATACAGTATATGGCTGGTCTAGTTACTTTAAAGAAAACATACACACCAGTATT